GCAGCTAGATGGGGATACAGTGCACATATTCCATTAGCAGCAGCTGCCCGGGAGGCCAAACTCTCCCAGTCCTGCCATTTGCAGCAATAGCAAAGCATTAAGGCTACGCTGTGGTTCCTTCCATGACTTACATTTGGGAAGACACGGGTGATTTCTCTGACAGACAGCTGCCTCTAACACGTACATTTGGGTGATGGTCATGATTATCATTTTGAAGGTGAAAATGTGATTAGTGAAATTATGATGACACTCCTTTCCCTCTGTCAGCCAGGTCCTTCCCTCAAAAACTCCAGTGTTTTCGTAGAAATATCTCTGAACAGAACGGCACCTGCAGGTAATGATTTTCCTAGGATGCTCTTAACCAGTCAGAATCCTACCTATTTAATCACTATAGGGCAGCCCATTAACCAAGGAGATTTCTGCTGGTTTCTATGCCTCCTGTTAGTGCAAACAGGGGTGCTTTCTACTCAGGCTCTGAGTGAGTCCTTGGCTTTAATCCAAGCTGCCTCTGCCTGTTTTCTCCTGGTGCAGCCTCTGTGCTATTGGAGCTGTTTGGCTGTCACTCTTGCACGGTTTGGGTGTTTTGTCATTTTTTGATGCCAGGATGCGTTTGCTGTCAGGAGGAATTTACAGGCACATTAGCTCGCCTGTCAGGAAGGCTGCTGAGCTCGGGCTGCCACATGCAGCTCCTTCATTTTCTGCTCTCTGTGGTGGAATTTCCCAACTGTACTAATTATATTATCACCCTGATACAAGCCTCTGAAATAATAAAATATCTGTAAATCCTGCTGCTTGGACTTCAGTGCAATTGCAGGTAGTTTTAAATAATTCACTGCAAAATCAGCTGGGAGAATACAAAGCTGTGCAGTACAAATGCCTGCTATTATTCCATTAAACCTCACCAGAGTGGGGGGGCAGCTTGCAGTACTTAGAGACAGTTGCTATGTAGGGCTAGAGCAGTCATGCTTTGGGCTGGATTTCAGGACTTCAGCGATCAGCTCCCATCCTGTTATTGTTTTTAACTGATTAACCTTGCTCTCTTACCTCTCCCTCAGTACCAAGCAGGTTCTGTGGCCATTGTGGCTGATGGCTGGCTGATAGACAGCTGCTCTAAAAATAGATGGCAGGTCTGGAGGGCAATGCAATTTGACTCTTCCTCCAGTAGGCTGAGATCCTTGGTATCACGTATGATCCTGCCCTGCCTTTGGGATGGTTTTCTGAGAGCTGGACTCAAACATGCTATTCATGCCTGCATTGTGGCTGAATAGGTTTAATAAAAAACGCTGAGAGTATTGTTGTAAAAGAGTTTGGGTTGCAATACCATCTGTCATGGCTTAGCAAAGGTTCTTGTGCATGGGATGTTTACGGCGTTTAAAAGTCCAGGGGGACCCAGGGATCTTGCAAGAATGATCCAGGTGAAGCATGAGATGCAATTCTGCAAAGTCACTTCTCCTCCAGCTCCAATACACTTTTGGCTTTTCTCTGGGACAGCTGTTTTTTGCTGCGAGAGGGGAGATGACTTTGCAGTAGCAGTGCTTTGCAATGCCCTTTGCACAGTCATACACATCTGCATGAAGCAATGGAGACAGAAATCCACAGTTACCCTACAGACCCCATTCACTCAGGTGGTGGCACTGAAGTGTCATTTCTGAATGCTGGCAGTGGCTGAAAGAGTAGAATTTGCCCCTAAACCTTTGCCTGTTACGAATTTCTGTGGAAAAAATAGGATTTGAGGCTGATTCAAGAGGAACATTTAAGAATGTGCTAAATGCTAATCTTGTGTTTAAGTCCATTATTCAGCACAACACATCTATGCTTTGAGCTGACTTAAGAAAATACTTAAGCACATACCTATGGTTTAACATATATGAAGCATTTTGCTGAAACAAGGTATTTTTATCTAAAAGAGGAGCAGAGGAGCTGATTTTAACATATAAATGTATGTATGAGAAGTTCCTAGTACTACATACTACAGTATGGCATCCTAGAGAAACTAACATCAGGCTTAAAAGGGAAGGAGCAGCGTCCATTCAGAAATAGCAGATGTACAAATTGCAGCTGGTTTTCCTGGAAAAAAAACCCTTAACTGGACTGGATGAAGACTATTCCTCACTTCTTATGTATAAAACAGACAGTGATTTGCATCTGACTCACTGGAAGAACTTACCTTTTGGTAAAATTATCACTCTGGCACCTGCAGAGCCAGTAGAGCAGCAAGACTGCCATGGTGCTGATTTATTTGAAGACTAAGCTATTAATTTCATTTTTCTTTAAAAAAGAACATTTGGATTGCCTTTTCTTTCCTATTGCCAAGTTGGTATAAATAATAGCACTGAAATCAATGTGAGTTTTCCTGCCATCATTGCAAGAGAATCAGACTCTGGCATTTGTGTGTTTTTTGATGGTGATTTTTAGAAAAAGCTTCTCAAAAGGTCTTTCTTGTCCTTCTTTTGTACATCAGGAAATTTGCGTCTTACTTCTCATCTCTTTCGTGAAAGTCTTGAGAACTGAAGGATTATGGTTGTCATAAAAATGAAATCTGGGAGGGCTAAGGATTTTAATCAGACCAGTTAGAAGTTGTCAGGTTTTAGCTGTGCTTTTAGCTTTTATTTAACTCAAGCTCTAGACAATGAATTATTGAAAGAAAGTTTCCTTTTGAAGTATTTGTCACTCTTGCTTCTTAGAGAGGATAAAGTTCCCATTCTGGACCTCTTTCCCAAGAAAAGTCAGAAAAGTCACACCTCTAACATTTAGCAATAAGAAGAGAAGGGAAAAAAATGTAATTTACATATTGCTGCAGCTTTGGCTTGTGGATAGAATTGTTCTGCAGCTTAAATATCTGAAGAAGTTGCCCATTCTCTCTTTATAGAAATGGAAAAAAAAATTGCCCCAGTACATGGCAATTAATTTCACCCCCAATAGATACTTGAAGAGGTCTGCTGAGTCCCACCTCAGAGATGCCCATCTGTCTCCACTGGTGATAAAAGGAGCCTTGGGCATCTGGGCACACTCGACTGCCAAGAAGCAAATTCCATTCAGTGAACCCAAGTCTCCTGGCCATTAATTCTATACCCTGGCCCTTGCTTTCTCCAGCCTGCTTGTCCCTGCTCTTAGGAGCCTTCAAGCTATGCTCAGCCAAGTGAGTTTCACTTTCATTGAAATCAATGGTAGTATTTGTAAATTCTTGAAAAGAGATTCCCTTTCAAAAATAGCATTATATAGAGGAATAATTCTGGCACTGGAGGTTCCTGAAATTTGAAATCCTGATGCAGAGACCACTTTGAGCAGGTGGGCTAGGTGGGAGGAAGTTATGTGGAAAATATTCTCCACAGAACAAAGTTGCCTGTTCATAGTGAATGATGGAAAATGTGAGCTCTTTGAGTCAAGAATGATGCTTTAATTCTCTTTTTGGGTTAGGGAACAATCTTTTTTTTGGTATCAGTTCATATATGACTTTGTACAACAGGTTCTTGGCCTGGGAAAGGACTTTAATTTGTGCTAGGTTAGTGCAAAAGAATAACAATGCAGAGCCCACATTTGTGGCTCCTCCAAGCTTGAGGAGCTGGTGTGCACAGAGCCCCAGTGGAGCTGAGTTAACATATCTGTCCTAAAAAAACTGTCCATTTAGCTATGTGGCAGCACCAAGTGCTTTTTATCTGCCAGTAGCAGATGCCTCTCTGTTTCTGGAGAAAAAGGGGTAAATACGACTTCAACGCATAGAAAAATGCATTTTTTTATTTCATTTTGAAACTCCATGTTTTGTCACCATATGGCAAAGCTCCTGGTGATGGCAGAAAACTGTGTGTAGCAATAAATAATAGAATTGAAGAATATCTAATAGCACAAAGTTCTGCTTCCCCAGGGACTAAAGAAAAATCTGTTTTGACAGGATCTCCAACTCTGCCTTTCAAAGGTGCTTAGTCTTGACAATTTTGGTTGAGATTTTTATTGTGTGTGCTGGTCAGGGAAGCAATGGTGCCTGCTCTTGGCTGAACAGAGTGATTTGAAGTTATTGTGAACAGAGCTTATGCTGCAATGAGAATTCTCTTAGCAAAAGACTGTTAACATTGATCCAAATAAAATAATAATATGACTGAACATGTTAGGGAGGTGGATCAATATAATAGTTTAAGATACAGTGTAAGCACTTGTTCCCCAAGAGACCCTAGCACGAAGCAAGTACTAGGACTGCTACACTGCTGAACACATAATAATTTAATGTAAACTTGAAAGCAATTCAGATGAAATAGAGACAATATTGTTTTTTATTAAACTCTACAATGCTCTTGTCCCCATTTGTTAGCCAAACTCATGTACTCAATATAGTCTCTTGTCTTCACCTTTAGCCTGAAGTGAAAACAACCATTATTCCTATCATTGTTGTGTCAGTGCAACAGTATCATAAGTGCTTACAAGAACACACAATCCTGTTTAGGTTAATCCTTCTGCCTGTGACCTGATGCAAAACCTTCTGAAGTAAAAGGAAGCTTCTGCACTGAGGTTAATGACCTTCAGAAAAAGTCACATGAATATGCATGCAAGAATGGAGGGCAAAAGGATGACATAGAGAAGGATTTTTTGTTTGTTTTCTTTCCTTGCTTCCTTCATGTCTTGGTTCCTTCCATGTAATAAATGCCACCCCAGCGTCACTTCTGCTCAATTTCCATAGACTCATAGGATAATTCAGGCTGATAAAGACCTAAGGACTCTCTCATATGCTGATATATGTTCTGCTGGGTCTGCCATCCCACTTCCAGGCTGACCAAGTCCACATCCATCAGCCCTTCTGTGGTCTGACCCCTAAGCACTCAGGTGGCCTCTGCTGAGTCTGTGTCAGTTGGCTGATGTCTGTCCTGTACTGGGGGACCCCAAACTGCACATGGCATTGTAGATATGGTCTAATGAGTGCTGATTAGTGGTGGACGATCACATCCCTTGAGTGACTCTTCACACTTCCTGGGACCTCATTGACCCTCTGCTGCCAGGCATGCTACTGCCTGATGGCCCTGTCCCTTTTCAGCAGAGCTGCTCACCAGTCTGTATTGTTGTAGGTCATTATTCCTTCCTTGGAGTGACACTTGGCATTTGTCCTTATTGAGTTTTCTGGCAAAGCTCCTGCTGGTCCACACCTCCAACCTACCTGGAAGACAGACCAGCCCTCAAACATATTGACTGGTCCTCCCCACATTTTGGTGCCCTCTGCAAAGCTTATGAGCAAGCACTACATAGCCTTTTCCAGACTGCTGACAGACATGCTCAGTGAGGTACCAAGACAGACTTCTGAGTACCCCATTTGTTACTATCTTCCAGGCAGCATATGACCCATTAACCATTTAAATGGAAACAAGGTGGGTTTGGTTGAAGACAGGAACAATAACTCCACTGTAAGGACTCTACATGCTATAAGATTTTAAAACATCGTAAAGAAGGAGTGAGTGACAGCATCTTACACTTTTGGCACGAAGTTTACTGTACTGTTAACATGCACTAGTTCTCTAATGAGTCAATGAAGGCATTAATGACCAATAAATCACTTCCTTGAGATTTTTCAACAGCAGTATGGAAGACAGGAAAATGGGTGCAGTGAGCAAAATGACCTCCTTCTAGTCTCTGGCCAGTGAATAATGCTAACAAGCTTGCATGTAAAGATTTGTACAAAATCATCAGGCTTCATAAACCCAACTTTATGAGTCATATCTAATAGCTCCTGAAAGAAAATCAGCTGAAGTAAAGGAGCTCATGACCCAACACTTTAGACTATCTAACTCTCAGTTTTTTTCTGTGCACTGTATTGCAAGTCCTTCATCAGCTAAAGACTCAGAAACAATTACATAAAGAAACAAATTGTCCAATTATCTGGAGGATGGATCTGTTCCACTGAAGGCCATTTAACAGCCCCCAAAAATCAACAGAATTGACTTACCTTAAGTGTAGCTCCAGCTGTGAGTAGAGGAAGTGAACAAATGCCCTTCTTGCCACAATTTCTGCATGGCAGTCGTTGACAGCAAGCCCTTGGTCATTGATGTATTCCCCATTTATACATTTGGTACCCGATGACAGCACAATAACCTGAGCTTGCCTGATGTCCAAACCTGTAGGAAAGAAAACAAAAGGGTAGTGAAATTGCCAGGGGTGAGTATGATATAATGATTATAAAAGTTCTCTCAGCCCCTGCTTTGATGTGGCAGTCCAGACAACCCTAATGGGATGCTTGTTAAGGTGATGATATGGCCTTTGGAATATGCAGGAATCTCACATCTCAGTGTTATTAGAATAATAAGGGCTCTCTTTCAGTCTTGCTGCTAATTCCAAGATAAAAGCTCGCCACGAAGTTTACTTGTTAAATCAATAACTACATCACAGGAGAGCATATGCTGTAGGGAGGTAATAAAGATCTCCTGCAGTTCTGATAAATGGCCAGGTTTTTATGAGCTGTTGAAGACATTTTCTGGTGGGAACACACACTCCCTGTAATGTTAGGTTTCATTGCTGTTGCACTGTAAGTACTAAATAAAATGCAAGTAACACTTCTGGAGCTGCTCTTTAAAAATCACTGAGAAAAAAACCCAAACAGATCTGACTTTCAGTCATTTCCTTTTGGTTTCTTCAAGAGCAGCTACACTGGTACCTTCTCCACTGTGGTCTCAGGAATGGAGCACTCATCACTGAGACCAGATTTGTTCCTCTGTTGCCTCTCCAAATAAGGGTGGTGGCAATTGATAGATGTGCCTTTCTTAATCCAGACAGACACTTTCTAGAATTAAATCCTGATTTCTTTGGAGTCAGTGGCAAAATGCTCACAGACTTCAACAGAATCTGGGTCTAACTTTAAAATGTAGCTCATTCAGCCCTGTGGACAGTTTCAAAGAAGAGTTAAGAATGAACTCAGCCCAAACTACAATTATCTTTTGAAAAACACATCTCAGGATGCATCTCTCTGAATACAAAAGAATAAGGGAACAGCCCTTGGGAAAAAGGACTTTTATGGCTGATGGATGCAATAAATTAGCTTAAGAGTGTTGACAGGTGTTTGATACACTGGCTGTGTGCACGCAAACACATGTACAGTACCACAAGTCAGATTGTTGGGGTTGGCATGGTTGTGCCCATGTAGCATCACCTGAGATGCCCTTGATGTCTTGCCTAATGTCTGGCTGCTAGTGAAGGGAAGGCCAGGAGGTTCTGCAACCTCCCTGTTCATCTCAGATGGAAGTCCCTAAAGCAAATCAGTGGAATGCATGTCTATATTTAAGAAACTGAATCAAGACCACAAAGTGTGACAAATCAGTGATGAAGACAGGTCTGAGGCTGCAAATACTCACAGGGGGAATGGAAAAAACCTCACCATGGGCCATGGTAATGCTGATTCTATGATGCTACTTTAGAACAGCTTTAGGAATTATTTCATAGAGTTGACATTAATTTTTTTTTTTTCTTTTTTAATGATGAAGCCTACTGAATAGCAGAAAAAAACACCAAAATTGCAGAGATTTTGTTTTGGTTGGAAGCACCATGGCTGGGGCCATGTTCTCTTGTAAAAATCCACTGGTGTGATATGAGAAAAAAGCTCAATGGAGAAGGAAACTATACTTTAGACACAAAGGGCTGGTGCTGCCAGTGATTTCCCAGTTAGTAAAGATGATCAACAGTACTTCATAATCTCCACAGAGCACTGGGACTAGTGGTGGATGACATGCTATAGCACTGTTGTCATGCTTAATGTATATAATTGTAAGTGATACCAAAATTATTTCATGCCCATATCAATATGATAGCTACATCAGTAACCCAAAAGGTTTAGTTGTATTGTGGCATTGCAGCATTGTGACACTCGTAGGAGAGGTGTGAGTATTGTGAAAGGCTCAGTTGATCACACCCAACCCTCTGGTTGTGACAGTCTCACACAGAGGTTATAGGTACTAGTGACAAGGTACACATCACTGTATGCCTGTGCTGAAAGTTTAATCTTTATTTGTTACTAAACATGTGGCCCTAAAACCTTGTTTGGGAGTATCTCTTAAAAAAAATTTGTTACTAAACATGTGGCCCTAAAAACATGTTTGGGAGTAGCTCTTAAAACACATAGAGGAGCTGGAAATCTTGAAAACCCAAGAAGTGAAGATGGGAGCATATGGGAGAAATGCAGTGGAGAGATCCAATTACAAAGTCTTTGTGCTTATTCCAGTTTTATTACTGGAGAGGTACAAAGTTGAGGTGGACAAATGACTCTTTTCCTACCATGAAAAGTATCTATACTCTGTACATTAAAATTGCTTCGCTTTAGGGTCACTGCTTTCATGAGAAAAATAATAGGTATCTTAGACCAACACACGTACATCTAGTTAGTCCATCTGTGACTAACACCAAACATTTAGTGAGGCACTGCCTGTAACAGAGGCATTTGAGTCCCACTCAGCATCTCAAAGAGTTGTGTATATTTTCCTAAACAGCATTTTCCTTGATTGGAAGGTCCATGGAAAGAATCAGCCATTTCCTGATTCTATTTTATTTATCAATGTAGACAGAGTCTTATTTACCTCAGCACAGCAGGAGTACCCCAGGAGGCAATTCCCTTGTTCAGAACCCCATCAGCCTCTCTGTCTGCCCCTGAGGACCTCTGTCCACACTCCTTCTCAGGGTGTTGAGATAACAGCTTCCTCCTCCTCACGCTAGTATCCCCCTGGTGTGCTTCCCCTCCTCCCCTGCCCCTCACAGTCAAAGCACCATGCTCTGCAAACACAGAGCACACCATTTGGGGAAGCTCTTCTCCTCTTCGGGTGCCGTATCTTCCTCACCCCTGCTTCGGTACACAACGTGATGCCCTTTATTATTTCTCGTATTTTATCCGTAAATAAACTTCACTCTTTCTCTTTTCTTGTATGAGGGTAAGCTGATGAATGCTGTCAGAATTTTCTATGAGAACTGCATTTGTTCACAAATGAAACAGAAAGGCACTCAATACTTATTTGATAAAGCAATAATATAAATCCTTCTGATGTTCTTTGCTATCACAATGTTCACCTGCACCGCAATATCCCATGTGCTTGGGGTGTTCATTTTTGGGTGAATTAACTCCATATGTTGGCTTTCAGTGAGATGGGGCCCCAGAAGGTAGTCGTGTGTGGACACTGCTTTGGGTGTCTGCCAGTCTTGGCAAGGTGCAGGTGTTTGCAGAACATCGCTTGATGTTGCCTGGGGCCGGAGGCAATGGTATTCCAAGAATTTGCAGAACCAGTCGGAGTGTTAAACATTAAAAATCTCAATGTATTTTCCATTTGCAATGTCAGAAAATAATCCATGTTCCTCTATGCTCAGAAATACCCAAGAGTTATGTCTCAGTACTATGACACTCAGAAACCCAGGTGTACATGACTTATGCATTAGCTCTGAAATATTAACACCTCACTGGGGAGCCGAAAGGGGAAAGTGATCTGTGACCAACGTGGCTCTGTTCAGTGCTGCCTGCGAGGGCACCCAGCACGAGGAGAAACACTTCCAACAACCTGACAGTTGCCTGACGTGTTCAGGAGCATATATGCTAACAGATTGTCCTCTTGCATGCCTTGTTGGGTACATACACAGACTTGGAGGTTTATCCCCTGTGAAATGCCTGATATTATTTTCAGTGAACACGGGAGGAATTTTTCTCAGGGAATAAGACACGGAATGCCTAGCCGATGAAGGCGAATTTCAGAACTGACTAATCACATCGGCATTTTAGGCAGCATCTCCATCTCAGGAGCATAGATGCTTGCTTCAATGATTCAGAATTAATAGGCACTTCTGTACATTTGTCTATTTTGCATTAAAACCAGTAATTACTAACTCTTGTTATTAATGCTTTCTTCCTATTTTATTTTGTCTGCAGAATACTTCAAATTTCTCAAATGATTTCTATTTATGGGAGTCAAGCTACCTCCTAAACATTGATCAATTTAACTTCAGCCATGTAGCTGATCTGGACCATGCACATCATCAAGTCATGCTGGAAAGCTGTACCTCTGTGAATGGCAGCACCAGCCACATGGCACCTTTCCTGCCCAGGCTACGACTCTCGACGAATACTGCTCTCCACCAGACTCGTGCTCTTACTGAGGGGAATCAATCTCAGATGAAAGACCCAGGGAACTAACTGAGTTCAGATTATTTGACAAACAAGGAGAAATGGACTACATTATTATGACCTTAACTCCTGACCCACTGATTGTCAGAGTTCATGAGGCATTTCCTACCCTCGCTGCCTTCTGCAAAGTAATGTTTGAGGAGGCATTAGGTTAAATGTAACTAGTGAACGATTTATAACAGGCACCTGTATTAGGTTTCTATTATTTGCCTAAAGACTTCTAATAGTTTTCAATTTGAAAAGGAAATGGAGCAGGGGAAAAGAAATTGGAGAGCTGTGTCAGCATAGTGGCTGGATCTTGGCTAATGCCCTGTTGACAAGGACAGCTGGGAGAGCAGAAAGGGAATTCACCACATTTCATCTTCACAAATTCTGTCAATTAATTAGTTGCATTATGGAACAAAAATGTACCCATAAATGACACATTGCCTTTCATCACAGATCCAGTCTAATGATCTGGAGAGGTAACGAGACTTTCTGGTGCTCTGCTGACAGCCTGAGCCCACGCTCGGGGGTGGCAGGGGCTCCTCTCACAGCCAGGTGGGGAAACCTTGAACCCCATGATGCTCCATTTTTTGTCTCATGGTGATAGTGTAGGCTTTCACATCATAGCTGAGCTGCTGAAAAGGAACTGCATTTTATTATAAGCCATTTTCAGTTTACTAACACCAGCAGCGAGATTCATTTCAGCTCTTCTGGATAACCAGAGTTTAGATGTCTGTAGCTGAGCTAATTGCTGTAGACTCTCTTGATAGTCGAAGGAGAGGAACTTTTCTAGGAGATGATTCATCTGGCCTAGTTTAGATTGCTGCTTTTGGATAGTCTACATTGCATGTCAGTATTGCCAGCTTTTCTTCATGAACTCTGAAGACCTGTAGACAGATTTCTACGGTCTAGACAGATGCTCTTAGTAAGATTTCTCTTATTATGAGTAATGAAATGCCAGCCTAAACTCCCCAAATCATATGA